CATGCAAAGATGGAGCAAGCATACAACAATATGCAAGACAGGCATGTGATAACATGCAAAGGGATGGGCTTAAACTAATGTGGGCAGCTCTCAACTAAGCCCAAATCAGTGGCCAAAAGTGATGAATTGATGGCATGAAAAGCATGAAATGACAAGGCAAACATGTATGTCAAGTGGCTCAAGTATTAAGGCACAAAGAGGACAGCTCTTAAGCACACTTAAGGAGCAACAAACATGGGTATATTGTAATGAGGTAAGCTCTGAAATTTCATGTAAAGTGATGCCAAATCAAATCAACAATGCAAGCATAGCATGTTATGATGCTCAAAGCTCAAAGTAAGCAAGGGGACTTAAGCCAAGGCCATACAAGACAAACCTCAAGGGGCCGAGGGGACCTAAAATAGTCCTAGGGCAAGTCCAAACAAGACCAAAACTAAGCTCAAAGCTAGACAACATTGGCTAGAACACAAAGCCAAAAAAAACATGGAGCATGCAAGGTTTTAAAGAGGCAATGCACTACACGTATTGAAACCAAACATGGCATGACTTGGGCGACATAAAACAAAGTTACATCATGGTATAATAAGACCTAAAATGCACTGAAATGATGAGCCAAAGGCTTAGGCTTAATGGCATGCACAAAAGCTCATTCTTGAGGCATAAAACACAAGCTCTATAAAGCATTCAAGGCATGTCAAATGCAAGTGTATGACAACATTTCCTGGACTGAAATAGCATATGGAATGAGGGCAAAGCATGCAAACATCACATGTATGGCATGGTAGGGGCCTCAAAACCCAAGACTAGCCAAAGCATTTACACTATAGCTATACAAAGCACGAGTGATATGGCCATGGCAGCCCAAAACAGTCCTAGAGGAGCCCAAAATAAGCATAAAATCATGTTAGAGCGAAGCCAAAATATGCTAGGATGATGAGTCAAAACACCATGCACAAAGGGCTAGTAAACAAGATTTGTTCTACACCTATATGGAGCATGCAAAGGATGATCAAACCAACTATGGATAGGGTCATGACATGCCAAATGATGACCAAATACATGCTGAAATGTAAACCAAACAAGCTAACATGACATGGCAAAGCATGAGGCATATGAAGCTAGTTTAGGGGATTTACATTACAAGTACATCATGCAAGCATGGAGTGACAAAACCAGCCCAAAAAAAATTCATGGCATGGTAAAACATCACCAAAAACCCACTGAAATGGACTCAATACAAGCTAAGCACACATGCCACTTTGATGAGCTATGAATGGAGTTACTCAACACATACAAGATGCATGCAAAATATGACCAAACCAGCCATGGACAGGGCCAATGTAGGTCCCAAAAGTCACAAAAATAGGCCTGAACCAAGCCTCAAAAATGCATGGAGGGATGGTCCTTTGGAAGGCCAAAAATACAAGCAAAGAGGAACCAAAAGAGAGGGGGCCACCCCCTCTGATTAAGGACCTCAGAACCACACCTTTACCACTGAAAATCCACTGGATTTCAGTGGTAAGAAGGCCAAACAAAGGCTAGCTCGAAGGCCTCAAGGAATGGCCTAAAACAAAGCCAAACAAAGCATGCAAGGGTGCTACACACCCCTAACAACAAAATGACCTTAAGAAAACTTCAAAAGCACTTAAATACAAGACTTTTTTCAGTTATAAGAAAAGCCCAAATCAATATGCAAGGATGATTAAAGTGAGGTACAAGAAGGTGCAAAAATGGGGAAAATACTTACCCTCGAAGACCCTCTTTGAAACCAGCAACTTCAGGGGGTGGAAACCAGTTTTCAGAGCTCAAGAATCCCTCCCAAGAAGCTTAGTCCAATGGTGGTGGTGTATCTCTATGTGTTGTAGTGTAAAAGTGCAAGGAAATTCAATTTCTAAGCACAAAATACAAACAATATAGAGAGAATGAGAGGTTTTTTTCTTCAAAATGGTTGAACCCCTGATGTAGAGGGAGCCCTCTTGCTTATATAGAAGAGAGAAAGAAGAAGCTTCTTCAAGAAGCTTTTTAAGAGCTCCATCCCTCCATACACGTGTATGGAGGGCAGAAAACGAAAAACCAGCTGGCTCAAAAGATCTGGAGGATAACCAGCTGAGACAGGGGGGTGTCGGCCATTAGTAATGGCCGACAGTGGCTCACTGATGGTCGGCAGGGCTTCATCTGTGGCTGGCAGGCACAAGGAAATGGCCGGCAGAGCCATGCCATGGCCGACAGTGCACCAAAAAGGTCACTTTGAATGGACCTAGTCAAGGTCCAAAAGAAAAAGGCAGAAAGGATACAGGGTCCGGGAAGCTTGAACTGGTGACGTTCTGCCGCGACAGTCAAGTACTCAGCGAGCAATCGAACTAGTTGTTGGGTGTACCTGCAAGCACAACCAAGTCTTGAGGACGGTCAAAAATGGGGTGTTTATAGGTGGCACACGCATGGATGGTAGATGTAGAGTTGATGATAAAGTGGTCACATCTGGGTTTATCAGAAGCATGAGTGGGTCTGCAGGGAGGCAACCAGAGATTAATCTGGAGGTGGATTTAAATAGGGCTCATGTTGAGTCAAGTTGGGATGGGTCGGCCCAAGGGGCTGAAATACCAGGTACTTGGGCAGATAATAGCACTCAATCTATTTCTGAATCTTTCCATGGAATGGGACAGCCCAGCTCAGTCATCAAAAGGGTGGCCAGCTCTCCTCCAGTTCCCAAATCTGCTTATGGTATGGGGTAGCCCAGCGCAGTGAATAATTTGTTGACCACAACCAGTATTCGGGGGAAAATTAGAAAGGAGACAGAAGCAGATAATAGAAGACCTAGGCCCCGTTTGTTTTCAGAGGTAGAATGGAAGGGATTGATAGTGAGAGGATTAATAGTGAGAGGATTGATAGTGAGGGGATTAAGTAAAATTGTGTTTGTTTTGATGATAATTGTTAGTGTAGGAATTGTTAAATTATTTTTATATAAAATAATAAAACAAATAAAAAAATATAAAAAATTAAACATTAATATTTTAAAAAAAATTCCCAATATATAAAAAATAAAAAAATAAAAAAATTTCTAATCCCCTCACTATTTTTCTAATACCATCTCTACCTCCTCCTTCCCAATCCCCCTTCCAAGGCCTTTACTAATACCAAGGGATTAGGAGTCCCCTCCCCATCTCTCAAAACAAACACCCCATATAGTAGTCCCATCTCACTATCAAACCCAATCGCCTCCCTATAACCCCAAACAAACGGGGCCCTAAAATTTCTAAGAAGGGAAAAAGAGCTGTGGGTAAGAAATTTGTGAAGCCATCTATGTATCTACGGAAAGGGGTGGTTTTCAGATCAGCAGTCGCCGCTATCTCTCTTTCCATGGCGAGTAAGTCTAGTAGAGGATGCTTAAGATTATCAGAGGTAGAAGCATCACTTCAAATTGGAAAAGTGTTGGGGGTAGACTGTTATGGCAAAGAGGAGGAGATAATTAATAAGTTAGAGGAATTAGAGGCTAATGACAAAAGGAAAGTGGTGACAAGGGAAGGTGAAGCCAACTGAGCTCTAAGCTCTGGGTGTTTAGGTGCTAAATAGTCTTGCAATGAAGATACAATCTTGGAATGTTTGAGGTCTTGGCAGACCTGAGAAGATGAGGAAAATTAAAAGAAGTCTGGCAGAAAGGAAAATCAGTTTAGTGTTGCTCTAAGAGACAAAGAGATTAACAATAACTCCCGAAGTGGTAAAATCCATTTGGTATGAAGATAATTTTGAATATATGGCAGTGGATGTGGAAGGCCGAGCAGGTGGCCTGCTATGCATATAGAATCCAAGGGTGTTCCAATTAACCTTTTGTTGTGGTCATCGTAACTTCATTCTTTTGTCAGGTATTCTCCATTACTCTCTTAATTGTGTGATTGTTATTGTCTATGGTCCCTCAGATGTGGCTAGAAGGAATGAATTATGGAATACTTTTGCTCGGTTGAAGAATATATTCTTGGAACCATGGTGTATGGGGGGTGACTTTAACGAAATAAGGACCATCACTGAAAGAATTGGGTGTTCTAGAAGAGATAGAGGTATGGGGGATTTCAATACGTTGGTAGACCAATTAGATATGAAGATAGACTTACCAATGCTTGGTAGGAAATTCACCTGGTGCAATTCACAAACTAGAGAGAAATGGAGCAGAATTGACAGGTTTCTACTTAATCATGAGTGGTTACAGATCTTCAACTTCAAGGTATGGGGACTCCCTAGGCTGCTATCTGACCACTGCCCTATTGTATTGATAGAGGACGATAGAGATTGGGGACCTAGACTTTTTAGGTTTCTCAATGCTTGGGCTCTTCATCCTAAGTTTGTATCCGTAGTGGAGGAAACTTGGTCAGGACTTCAGGTGCAGGGCTGGGCTGGCTACCGTTGTCTTAAGAAGTTTCAAGCCTTGAAACAGAAACTAAAAGTGTGGAATAATGAAGTATTTGGGAAGATTGAATTTAAGCTCAGAGCTACTGAAGAGGAAGTCCATGCTATTGAACTAACTGCTGAAGAAAGAGCACTTCTGATGAATGAACAAGCTAGAAGAAGGGAACTTATGGGGGAAATTTGGAGATTCAACAAAATGCAAGAATGGACGTGGCTACAAAAGTCAAGAATGAACTAGGCCTTAAAAGGGGATAGGAACACAAATTTTTTTCATATAATGGCTTGCAACAGGAATAGTTGGAACTCTTTGTGTTTAGTAATGATGAATGGTGTAATGGTTGAGAAACCCCATGGACGTTAGACATGTGGTGATGTCTCATTTCAAGAAGCATTTCTCTGAATCATGGACTGATAGACTAAAATTATTTGGCCATTTCAAAAATATTGGAGGAGGCCCAGCAGCAGAAGTGTTGGAAGCAAAGTTTTCAGAGGAGGAAATTAGATCTATTATCAAGAGTTTTGAAGGCAACAAAGCACCCAGGCCTGATGGATTTAATTTGGCATTCTTTAAAAAATGCTAGGGAATAGTCAAATTGGAATTAATGCATTTCTTTAGAGAGTTTCACCAAAATGCTACTCTAGTTTCTGGTTTGAATAGCTTTTTTATTGCTCTAATCCCAAAAGTGGTCAGCCTATCTAGCTTGGGTGAATATAGGCCCATAAGTCTTATTTGTTCATTGTACAAAATTCTGGCTAAAGGCTTGTCTAATAGGTTGAAACAAGTGATGCCACAGATAATTAGCGAGGCCCAATCAGCATTTTTGGGGGGTAGAAATATCCTAGATGGGATACTTATTGCTAACGAGGTAGTTGATGGGTGGAGAAAATCAAATAAGAAAGGATTGGTGTTGAAACTTGATTTTGAGAAGGCTTATGATTCGGTCAATTGGAAATTCTTATTTAATATGCTATCCAATTTTGGATTTGGAGATAGATGGGTAAAATGGATGAAAACCTGTGTAACCTCTACAAAAGTGTCGGTTCTAGTGAATGGCTTTCCAACCTCGGAATTTTGGCCACAGCGTAGTCTTCGGCAAGGTGACTCACTGTCACATTTCCTATTCAATTTTGTGGCTGAGGGGTTGAATATTTTGTTTGTTAGAGCCAAACAAATGGGTTTAATCCAAGGTGCTGTCATTGGCAATGATGGGGTAAGAGTAATGCATTTGCAATTTGCCGATGATACAATACTGTTTTGTGAAGTTGAATGGGTGGAAGTGGTGACCATCAAAAGAATTCTTAGGTGTTTTGAAATTCTCTCAGGGCTGAAAATTAACTATCATAAGAGTGTGTTTGCCGGCATTGGTGTGGATGAAGACCTGCTGCATAGTTTCGCATCTAGACTAAATTGTGCTCATCTGAACCTGCCTTTAAAGTACCTTGGGTTACCTCTAAGGGCTAATCCTGGTAGGTTAAGCACTTGGAAGCCAGTCTTGGACAAATTTAAGCAGAAACTGCCCACATAGAAGAGAAGGTTACTTTCATTTGCTGGGCTGCCTTACTTAAATCTGTCATGTGCAACTTGCCAATTTACTATTTGTCATTGTTCAAAATACCAGTTGGGGTGGCAAAGGTAATTGATAAAATCCAAGCTAATTTTCTTTGGGGGGGTTCAGACCTTAGAAGGAAAGTTCACATGGTTAGTTGGGATACTATTACAAAGAGCAAAACTTTGGGAGGTTTGGGTATCAGAAGAATAATTGATATGAATAAGTGCCTATTGCTGAAATGGTGGTGGAGGTTTGGGGCAGAGAATCAATCTTTGTGGAAGGAAGTTATATGTTCAAAGTATAACATAGGGGGAAGGAAGATGGCTGCCATATGTGGAAGGCAGGGTCAGAGGCTCAAAAATTTGGTCTGACATAATTAGTGCAGTTCAGTATACACCTGTCTTACATAATTTTTACCTTTAGAACACTGCAATTAAGCTCGGGAATGGTCGGAGATCTCAATTTTGGAGGGATAAATGGGCAGGGGAGTTGTGCATCAAGGATGAATTTCCTAGACTCTTTTCTTTGTCCACAGCTAAAGATGGAGTAGTCTCTGATTTTCTGACCAGTGGAGGAGGGTCTCAAGACTGGAGTTTGGCTTTTAGGAGATCTCGGTTGGTTTGGGAAGAAGAGGAGGTCACAAGACTACATAACTGCCTTAGGAATGCACCAGTAGTGAGGGTCTTCAGGTCTGATGTATGGAAGTGGCATGCTAATTCCTCTGGGACATATTATGTTGCTGCAAGATATAAATGTTGTGAGTCATTATTGGGACCTGTTAGGAAACTGGCAGGGGCTGTTTGGCACAATTGTGCACCACCAAAAGTCAAATTCTTTGGGTGGTTGGCTTGGTTAGGCAAGGTGAAAACATCTAGTTTCCTTCAGAGGATTGGGGTATTAGATGAGGCTGCTAATGTGGGCTGTGTGTTCTGTCAAAATGAGGTGGAAACCGTTAACCATATCTTGCTTTTTTGCCCATTTGTTTGGCTGTTGTGGTCTATGATTATGAAGTGGTGGGGTTTTCAATGGGTGATGCCTAACTTTGTGGAAGGGTTGTTGCACTGGTGGTCATTTAGCAAAATGAAAAAGAACGAGAAAATGCTGTGGAAGGTGGTGCCTTTGGCTATTTTTTGGTCCACATGGAAACATAGAAATGACTGTGTCTTTAATGGCTCTCAACCAAACTTGGAGGAATTATGTGAAATTGTCAAAGCAAGAATAGCTTTGTGGGTTAAATCTTCCCCAACCAAAGTGGTGTTCTCTGTGAATGATATAGTTTTCAATTTGCATCAGGTTCAATATTGTATTAGGAAGGGGAGTTAATCTGTGAGATGCTGAGTTTTGTGATCTGCTTTTTTTGGACTATCATTAATCTGGAGCCTTTCTGTTCTGGTTTGCTATGTGGGTGTAGCAGTGGAGGTGTCATGGGCTGTAAGTGTGGCATTGTTGTTATGACTTGTTCTGCTGTGACCTTGTTGTGATCTGTTTTCTACTGCTGCTGGTATGCTGTGAGTGTGGTGGCTTGGGTATTGCTTGGTGCTTGTATGGTGAACTGTACTGAATGCCATGTTGTGCACTATTGTTCTGTTTTGTGCTTGTATGGTGAACTGCCATGGTGCTTCTATGGGGAACTGTACGGGTTTGCTGTATGGTGAACTGCCATTCTGTTTGCTGAACTGTACTAGTTTGCTGTATGGTGAACTGCCATTCTGCTTGCAGTACTGGTTTACTGTATCGTGAACTGTTCTCGTTTCTGATTTCAAGTATGCTTTGCTGTTTTGAACTGCCATTCTGGTGTTGCTGTTATTTGAGGTGTTTTGTTTGCCTCAGTTTTGGTGTGGCCTCATTTGTTGGCCTTGTCTGGTTCTGCTAATCCAGCTTCTGCCTATTCTAGTTTCCCTATCTATTTGTGTTGTTCTCTGTTTGATCTGTGGGTGGCTGTTCTTTGTTTGATATGTTATTTGGGGGCTGTTATTTAGATGCCATTGCAGTGCTCTTGTAGTTTGGTTATAAGTTGGAATGTTCTTCATTAGTTTTCCCAAGAAAACATGCACGGAATTCTTTGAAGCCAATTTCTGTTGTGCCAATGTTCCTTTTAAGGATATTTTTTGGCTTATCAGATGCCACTATCAATGTTATGTCAAGGCCATGCTTCCGTAGCACTTTTTGTTGTCTCAGTAATATTAGATGCCTGCTCTGCATAAGTATTCCTGCTCTGAGTGTTGTGTCTGGTTGTTGGTTGGTCTGTTTTTTTTTTTTCCTTTTTTCTCGTTGGTCTCTCACCAACTCTGGGGGTGTTTGCAGATGATAGGATGAGCTTTTTGGTGCCAACCTAGTTGAGATTATTTAGCTCATTGTGATGCTTTTGCATTCTCCTTTTCTTTATTGATGTAATTTGCATTGTACCTTGTGCTTGTTTATTTCATCAATAAAGTTTCTTTTTTGTCGATCAAAAAAAAAAAAAAAAAAATTGAAGCATTCAAACGGTACTAGGAATCAACAAGTATGTTTGGTTTCAGAAAATTTAATTAATTTTTTTATTTTCTATTTTTTTTTGTAGTGATTTTTTTTTAACATTTTACATAATTTTTTTTTAAAATTTTAGGTATATCTAATCTAAATAAACTTAAAAAGTATAATATTTGTGAGAAAACTAGAAAAAAATTCATCAAATACAAAAAAATAATAAAAAATTCAATATATTTTCATAATTTATTGTATTCAATAAATTTTGGGGATACTTACGTGTAGATCCTAATAGATGAATTTATTGTCCAATAGGTCGTATGATAACTAATGACATTTTTTTATCAAACATTATTAAAAAAAGTCACTAATTGTTAATTTTCAGAGACAATTTGGAAATTTTGTTACAAAAAATGTCACCAATTATAAATTTTAGTGACAGTTTAAAAAAATTGTCACAAAAAAATGTCACTAATTTTAATTTTTGAATAAAAAAAATACTAATTGTAATTTTTAGCAACAATTTATAAAAAATCGCAACAAAAAAGTCACTAATTGTCAATATTTAGAGACATATGCAAAAAATCACCACAAAAAATTATTCTTAGTGACAATTTTACTGACTAACTTTCAATAAGACTTAATGGAAGTTAAATCAAACAATTAGGACCTATTGGTAGTTTATCCTAATTTTTTAAAAGATTTTTGTATAATTTTTTTACTTTTTAACTATATTAAAATTAAATGAATCTAAAAATAAAAAAAAAAAATTGATTAAACTATTTCAAAAAATCATTAAAAATTTAAAAAACTATTTTTAAAAGCTTGCGTGTGCATTTTTTTTAATAGAATTGGAGTGACAACTATGTACTAGCTGGATTTATTTTAGATCTCATTTTGATCATAACTATTCACTTTTTTAGGTAAACGGATATCATATTTGTAAAATAAACTTAGAAGAAAATGTTTGAGACCCCTACAAAAATTCTTATAATTCTATCCACAATGATATGTCAGGATATGTGTCAACTTCTGATTTATTATACAACCAATGATTGAGAGTTTGAGTCTTTTACCACATCATTATGAATAAATTTGTAGCTCAAATATGTGATAGGTTTCTAGCATTAGTTAATTAGAATACCCAATAAATCTATCACTTGCAATACCATTTGAAGACTAGATATTCTGGATAATATGCCAAACAAGTAAGTGTAATATTGGAAAATGAAATATTTCATTTAAGTGAGCTTGTGGGAAGCTCTATTTGCACCTTAAAAATTAGGTTGGACATCCTAATGAGAAATTTTATTTTCACACACCTAATTAGTTCAGGGTATACTTTTTCTCAATACACATATTTATTAATTTATTTATTGATTAATTTTCTTTATCCACACACTAATAATTACAATTATATCCTTAACTCAAATATTATTGTACACACCACTTACCTCTCGTTTCCACACATTTTTATTTATCCAACTTCTACATTTTTTATTTATTAAGCTCTATTTGGTTGTGAATTCAAATCATGATTCCACACCTTAATTCAAGTATGGTGTTTGGTTCGTGTTCTCAAACGATATTTCCAAAACTCTACACAGAACACCTGCAGTTTTCTGTTTTGACAGACGCGTTTTTCTTTTTTTTGGAAATTTTGCCTGACGGGACGTCGGGCAGGTCGACTGGAATAGCGAATTTTTTTTTTTGCAATTGATTTATATAATCGAAAAAAACATTTTCTGAAATTTTTAAATTTTTTTATATACTTTAAAATAATTTTGAGTTGTATGTTTAGTTACGAGTTGTAAATTTTTGTATCACATGTCAAATGTCACATCAACAATTCCCCACTCAAATCAAAATTCTTTTCAAAACTCTTTACCAAACGAATTTTCTACACTCAAATCATAATTCCACAACACACAAACTCAAAATACAACTCATACTCTCAAATCACATTTACAAAACTCTACCAAACGCTACCTAAAGAAATTTTTCCTCCACTGTAGACATAAATGAAAGACTTCCATGAAAAAAATCTCCGAAGTAGTAATTGATTTGTCCTCCTTGGACAATGGCAGCTAATCCATGCTTTACATTATACAACCATATAGCACCTCAACCACTTCTCCTTTCCTTCGAAATAAACAGTAGCAAAATCAATTTGTGGTAAAAAGACAACGCATGAAGCGATAAAGTAATTCGTAATACGAAATGAAAGAAATTATATCAAACAAGTTCAGAAAGCAACACAGTTGAAATCATGCTAGTATGTTACATTAACACAATCACGTATGCAGCAAAATAGAGAAAAGGGGATGTCGAGAATGCAGAGATGGAAAGACTAGGGTTTAACAAGCAAAGCGACAACAATGAAAAAATTAAGGTTTAATTTTTTTTAACTCAAAAGGTATATATTGAGATTTTTTTGTTCTTAAAAAATATGTACAAAGAAGTTTTCTATATAATATTATAGGGGTTGTTGGATGTCTATTATGGTCATTTTTATTTAGGATATAATTGTTATTAAATTAATATTTCATTAATTATGTATCTTGAGCTAATTAGGCGTGTGGAAATAGAATTTTCCCATCCTAATTTAATGAAACTTTTTTTACTATTATGTCCCCATTTAAAATGACAAAAAAGTACTTAATATTACAAAAAAAAAAAAATACAAATAAAGGTACAAATAAAAGTATTTTGGACACCCTATTCATAATTAAACTCAATCTTCCATTCTCTCTTCTATTCTCTTTTTACTCTCTTTACTTTGCACCTTCATTCTTAAACCCTATTTTGCTTGAATCTATCATTTTTGTATTCTATTTCATATTAAAATTAACAATGGACGGGAAATTATTCACTAATTCGAGAATACCAACTCATCTATCTTATGTGGTGCTCCGCACCATTCAGAATACTCCATTTTGCCATGGTGTCCCTTAAATATTTTTTCATATTTTATATTCCCGCTCAATATCAGAAATTGAAAAGTTTGAATTTCAAAGAGGTTTGAAAGTTTTTTCTTTTTCTTTCTTGTAGCCAATTTATTCATCTTTATCACCATTGTCATTTGGGATGTGATCCTTTCTAACACTTCCCCATCCAGCGCTCATCATCCGATAGTTTGAACATGATGGTGACACATTGTGGAGAAGTGATTTGAGGGTTAGGAAGATCCCACGTCATGGAGAAGGGGAAGCAGTCTCGCTTCACTTCATGTATTTTGTGTTCGAGTGGTTGCTGAGTGTCATTGGACAATTGAGGTCGGTTTTGATTTTGAAATTTTGGGTTCAGTCTTGTTTGAGATGATTGGAGGTTTTGTCATGCTGTTTAGGGCTGCTGGAAGGTTGAGATAGGTTTCAATTTCAGATTTTTGGGTTTAGTCTTGTTGGACTCGATGAGATTTCTAGGTTCAACTTGTCATATGATTTGTTTGTGTTGTTCCATTATGTTTCCCACGATTTCCACTTTCATTAACGCCCTTTTTTTCTTGTTTGGATGTTAACAGACGTCGGCATTAGTTTAAGAGTTAGGTGAGTTGTCAATGTGACGGGACCCTACTGACACCATGGTAAAATGGAACATTTTGAATGGTGGGGAGCATCACATAGATAGATGAGCTGGTTTTTCCAGATTAGTGAATAATTTCCCATAATTGACAATGAAGAAGACATTCCTAAGCAACTTTTTTTTTATAGAGAGGTTAAGTTTTATATTCATGTTCATCATTTTCGGTTGTTGGATTTACAAAATTTGTTTAGAAATGTATTGAACAAGTTACATTTATTCGGAAACTTGTTTATAAACAAAATTCATAATTTCAGAAATAAGTATCTGGATATATC